AGAGATTTCTGTTCTGTCACCCCGCAGCCAGGTTTAGTCACTTTTAAGTAACTTATTTATAAAATAAGTAATTTATATATTTCGATTCGATTCATAAGTAATCTTTTATGCTTATTCAAACGTGCATTTATGCAGGAACAAATTAAAGAGAATTTCTTGGAAAGTGAAACAAGTCTAGATAAACTATTACAAAAGAATGGCTGGTATGAACAATTATGCCGTATTAATTATTTCTATTTTTGAGCTTTTCAAGTAAACAGACAGTCGTCTATGTAGTGAGCGAATGCGAATAATATTATTCTTTTCATACACTTGCCTTCTGTTAATAGATTGATACAACGAATTTGGTACATTAGACTCATCTTGATATTAATAAGAAGAATAGTAAATTCGATCTATGCAGTAGTTGAACATGTCAGTACGAGTTGGTATCGAAACCTTAACCGATCGATAAGATCAAAGAAGATCGAACATGATAGGATATATTCTTGGGCAAAGCCTTTGACTTTGATCAGTCTAGATTGTCGCACATATCAGTACGAATCGGTATCAAAACCTTATCTGAGTCACAAGATCAAAGAAGAGTTTATCAGTCTTATCTTTCGAACATGTCCGCCTATCCTTGACTGAATTTTACGGTTTTGTAAGAATAAAAATATAGTTTTCTTATTCTTTTCTTGATTTCAATTTTTTTTTTGCAGGTGGATCAGTAGCAACTCTGCATTTCTAAATGAACCTCCAGTGATTGCACCAGACGGCTCTAATCAGAAGTACAAATCACAATATCATGTAGCTACTCTCGCAGGAATCACAAAAACTCACGTCCAAACTGGGTTAGGGGCGTAATTCGGGCCGGCCTTTGCATTTTATTTTACGATATATTCCAGTAAGGGATAGGTTTGTGTAAATATCAGCTTATGCTTCGTATTTTGGTTTGCAAGTGTTTTTGGAAAGTGATTAGCCCGAATTGAGTTTGTTCTCAAGTTAGGGCCGGGCTGTTCTTTCGCGTGATTATTATTTTTTTTTCCTTCTTTCTTTTACATGTTTTACAGCCTTTGTATTATTGGACGAGACTTTGATCCATATTTATATTAATTTTACATTTTGTTTGATCTCTTTATTTTCAAAATATATATTTTTTATTTTTTTTTCAATCACATATTTTTTAATAAAATGATGATATTTTTTAATAAAATGATGATATTACACGTAAATTAATTTTTTTTTTAAGACGCAATATTCATTAATCTCTTATTTCAATATGCATTCTTCAATGAAATCTAACATCTTGACGTGAAATCTAAAGGTGTTGATGAATGATGATAAATAGTTTCACAAGGGATCTTTTCATTAGAAATGGTTAAAAAGATAGTTTTTTTTTTTTTTTTTTTGGTTGGAAAAATGGGTTTATGAATGACTTATGAGCTAAATTGGAGTGTGACCCAATTGTTCATTTTGGAATATGAAAGTTGATTTGTGTTTTCCTCCGTGAGAATATCGAAATCATATATTTACTTACCAAAATTGCTGCTCGGGTGAATGAGCAATTGAAGTACAAAGTTGATGCATTGGTGTGTTGAAGGGAAATCGTGTAGTTTGTCNATGAAAGTTGATTTATGTTCTCCTCCGTGAATAAATTGAAATCATATATTTACTCACCAAATATGATGTTCGGATGAATAAGAAATTGAAGTTTAAAGTGTGCCAATTGAAAGAAATTTATGTATTGAAAGGAAATCAAT